TGAAAAATGTTTCTTGTTCTTTTATTTTTAAAAACAAAAGGTTAATTTAATTTTAAATATTTGAAAAAAGACAAGTTATAATTAAATGAATATATATACTATAATGATTGGAGACTGATATTATACTATTATAAAAATAGCGTACCTAATTATACATAATAATATGGCATAGATTAAAACATAATTTGGTGAACTAACCCATTAAAATGAAGTTATAACTAAATCTATTACTCGGTTATCTGATTTAATTTCTTCATAAGCTTCTGGAAACACACCTTGATAGTTGATACCGATTCTGTTATGTTGCGATTTGGAATGTCGGTGTTTTTCTTTGAACCACTATAATAGACCTAATATCTTGGGTAACCAAAAATTTAAATAAAGACGATTCGCATTTTAATATATATATTACTGGAAATGAATTTTCATTTAGCAGTTAATAGTTTATACAAATTAATAAGCCGACATACTAAAATGATTCGTTAAACGTCAATTATTTTTTGTTGCTTTATTTTACGTTTAATATTCTTATTTATAAGCGAAGAAGATTGAAAATTTAAAGACAAAATTATTACCAAATAACAGCGACACCGAATTAGTCATCGAAAAAGTATATGTGGTTAAACTCGGTTGTAAAAAATGTATAAGAAAGTTTCAAAAGACTAAAGACTTGTATTAAACGTTTTATTGATTTTTAATTTTAAAATGATATAATATATAAATAATAATTTCCTCTATTATGACTTGTTAGGTACTTATGAATTGTGATATAAATATTGAATGTTATATATTACCCTGTAACGCTTTAATGTCATTAGGCACTGGGAGTACCTACCTAACAACGGATAACTTAAAATATATTTTACAATATCACTAAATCAATAGAACTAATCGATTAAAAGAAGTATTAAGCCCTGAACCGAAATTTATTTTAACTTAGTTACCCATACGACTCTTTTCAAAACGATGAAAAATACTCAACAGTTTCTCTGATATTAATCGAAGCTAAAATATGTAAATTAATCTAACAGATATAATAAAAAATGATGATTAAAATGTAGATATCTGTTTGTAATTCATTTTTACCACAATTTTTTTTAAGAGTTTTCTTCCCCCGATTTAAATTTTCCGGGAAATTTTCAATTTCTCATCCTAATCACATTGTCTTTCGGTGCACTTATCCTTTAACAATTTTTTTAGGAGTTATACATTATTGCAACAACAAAGCGTACCGACACCGTGTCCGCCATATAATATAATATTTTATCGTTAGTTTTTATCGTTTTATACAATCATTAAGCGAAAAAATAAAATAATAATAATAAAAGTAATCGCTTAGACATTAGTAGTTTTTTATTTTTTCACTAAATTGTTAGTGCCGAGAACAAAGCGATTAACATTGTGTGAGTGTGTGAAACGACTGGTTTTTTTTTTACTATCATCGTGTACGTCATATCCCACCTTATGAACTTTTCAAAAATATCTACCAAAATTTCTTTATTATGTATGTTATTAGAACATAAAATTATGTAGATTCGTACGAAACGAGATCCTATTATCGTTTTTATCATTTTTATTATTGGCCAATTAATTTGCAAACTATATAAAAAAAAAAGTTTTTGAGAAAAAAATACAAATCGACAGTTTATTTATTTATACATCTTCAATAAAACAACAATAATATATATAAAAAGGTATATTTTACGGCCGTATAAATATGTACCCTATTATTTAACTGAATAAAATCGGTAGTTTAACTGGCCATTAAATTTGGAAAAAGTCCTAAGTGTTACTTATCATTTCGACGAATTGAATATTAATGAAATAAAAAAATAACGAGTTAGATTTTTTTGAGTTTTATTTCTTTTTTAATTTTGGACCGACCGAATTGATTCTGACAAACCCGTTTAGCCAAACGCCCGGCCACGGTACCTAAAAATGTATTTATAGAAATAAAACGAACTTGACATTGATTTAAAAAATAGCAAATATATAACTGCACCAAATTAATTCAAACGAGTCGACTTTTTCAGCAGCGCGGTCGTACTTGTACAACTAGTATGAACAATAGAGCTTGTCAAATTATTTTTGTAATATTACCACACATTTAATAAAATATATATGTATATATTACCACACGTGCCATAGCCAAAAGTAATTAAGTACACTGATACAAGGTCGGCGACAGCATTTTTCACAAATAGTATGGTTGGTCCGCTCAATTGGATTGGATTACAAATTTAAGTCATCCGTTCCCCCCCCCCCCACTTATAGGATAATTTAAACTTCTATCGAAACCTGTCTCTACGATATCAACTTTATACTTAAAGTGATCCACCGAGGAAAACAATGCTAATGGCATAGTTTTTCTTATTCTACAACGTTGTACAATTTCCAAATATTTTCGTGCTCATTCTAGAGTTCGATTAACTTTCAAAGTTTAAATGTGTTGGACGGAAATCAACTCCTATTGTGACTTCTAGGAGGAAATTCTTGTTTATTTCCAAAAAAAATTTGTTTGCAAAAACGTTATAATTGTTCAACATCAAAAAATCTGTTGCGTTTAGTTTAACACCAACAAGTTTTGCAACAGTTTTATAAACCGAATTCACGGTTCTAGATTGGAAATAGTATACCAAAGGTCTTTTACAAAGATTGTACAAGAAAAATAATATGATCATTGATATCTTCTTTTTTTTTATATATAGATAGATGTATCAATTTCAACATATCATTTTGTTGATACATTGCATCAAGTAGTAAACATTTTTTTTTGCTACTTGACACGTGTATCAAGTATCAATCTTGGTAGTTGACATTCGATACACTATTGAAAAAAGTTGGCAATAAAAAAATAAAATTGAACTCTTATTGAAGTCAATTCACACGAATTCAGTTTGTTTATTTCGATTAAAAATTGCAATCAACACTCATAAATCAAATTAATTCGCTCTCTTTCTACATTAGGATGTATGTCTAATATAGCACCGCTTATTGGTCTCAAACGCATGAAAACTAGTTGTGCTCCGACCCCCTTAAAGGGTAGTTTATCAATTCTCACAATGAATAGAGAAAAACTTTATCTATGGGGTGGCGTTTTTATTTTTTCGATATCTATACTTAATATTTTTTTGTAAAAACCATGCTGCGGCCCCCTTAATTGGATCATAAATATAATTTTGTTTTATGATCAGCTGATTTTCTGTCTCTTATCAATCGTCCATTATCCGTTATCTGAAAACCCATCGTTTTTTTCTTATCACAGCTCCATCCCTATCCCCTATTTTTATCATCTAAAAAAATAATATAAGACATGTTGGAAAAAAACCGGGCTTTTGTCAACTCTGCTGTTACATACATTTAAAAATACAAATTATAAATCGTATTCGATTGTTATCATATTTCATACGTGACCGCCTCTCTGGCTACATCAAAGATAGATAATATAATAAACTAGATTGCTAACTAGTGATAATAATTAAAGTCGACGTCCGCCATTTTTGTAGGATTTTACATAACTATTTGTTATCTGTGATGAATCAACACTAGATCGTATAGACTAATTCCACTAGATCGTAATATACCCATTATTCTTATCTAGGGCTACACAGGTTTTCAGTTTTTGGCCAGGGATAGCTGCGGATTATTCTACACCGATAATAATAATATGTCCATATCGACAATCCTAAGCGACAATATTGCAATGATGATGGACGATTTTCGAAATCATCATCCTCCAGGGACAGACTATAACAATATTTAATTAACGTCGACCGAGGCACATATATGTCCTACGACGGTCTGGCAGGTATTATTATTATTATTATTTATCAACGCGATCACGCAAAATACACACTGTCTCCATTTATATAATATAATATATATGCATATAAATGGAGACAGACATTCAAACGGACAGAAACGAGGAAATACCGTCCAAAACCCGCGGTTGCTGATTGATAGGTTCGGCAAAATATACACGGCTATTGAATATTATAATTACAATTATTATTATTATTATTTCTGTAACCATCAGCAGTAAAAGCAGCAGCAGCTGTAGATGTTCATAAACGACAGCGACAGAATGATAAATCAACATTGTACACGGACGGCATTATTATTATTTATTACGCTTTGACGGACCGTAGGCGATATTTTTTTACTTTTTTTTTTATTTCATACCGAACAAAATAAAAAAAAAATAGTCACGGAAAGTAAACGAGTGAAGGAGTCTTTGATTTATCTACACAAAAGAAAAGAGGAAGAAGAATAAGTAAATATCGCGCGAGTGCCCAATTATTAATGGAAGAGAGAGGAGGACTTCACCGGGGTCCAAAAATATCATGACGAAGAAAACTGCTTAAAACCTAAATAAGAAAAGCAAAAAAATAAAAATGTATTTTTAATTTTTAAAACTGAAAATGTAATATATATTAAAACCGCCTTTCCAGGGGGCATAGTATAAAACTAATAATGGAAACAAATTTTACGTCCATTTGTGATGTTAAAAATTGAAAAAAGGGTAAAGTAATTATTATGTATGAAATTGAATTTTTTTTCTAATAAGAAAAAAAAGTGTAACACCTAATGCTAACATCCAAAAAAATATATTTCTCCTCGTAAATTATTATTTTTTTTTTTAATTCAGTATAAAATAATGAAGGATTTATTTTTTACCATTAAATTTTGTTTAAATAATAAGTTTTGATAAAACGTTATCCGTTTTGTCCGGTTAAGTTGTGAATCGGCGGGACCGGCTGTTGGGGACCGTTCCAAGTAGTGAATTTGTTTTATTTTACATTTGTTTTTTGGGTCGGTCGCCGCCAGATGCTGTTGTCACTCATGATATAATATTATATTCATATGAATTCCATTTGTTTTTTATAAATACATATTTAATTTGATACATCGCTGCGGGATCGTACGTTGCCAAGTGACACAGGGTATAAAGGATCGACAGGACTCGTTTACGGGCGAAAAATCAACCAAAATCCACTTACCGATTTGCCGTTTCGGAAACATCCGCCGTTCTTTGTGTGCTTGATGAATGTCACGACACTCTGGTACTGGAAATTATTCATCGTTTCCTCGTTAGCAACACATTATCGTCGGTCGTAAATAGGTGTGTAGCCATTGATTGTATTAAATATGCAGATTACCGGTGCTGTACACAACAATGACGGCAACCGATTTCGTACGGGGTTCCCGCCGTCAACAGAGTTGCCGTTCTTGTGTACACAGCATCGTTTATCAGTACATTATTTTATGTTCAACGGTATAACTCGGGGGTCACAATAAGTAAAATGTTATTACCAGGAAAGCGAAAAGACCAGCTGCAGTGTGACCGGATAACGAAATAACATTTTTTTTAAACTCACTACTGCAACCGTGTGATACAAAACTTATTAGTTATAATGCTATCACATTGTCATATTATGAAATTGTAATTTATCTGTTTGTCTGTGTAATTGATAAGAGTAATGCCATAATTGAAGTATACAAGTTTGTTGCACATATACCCCCCCGCCTTCTTCGTCAAATATTCGATGATAAATATGTCGGTGTAACGAGAGACAAAATCAAGTATATACGAGTATGTACACAGTCAACTATATAGTAAGAGTAAAATTGATGTGTCTTTACACTGCCATTTTATTTCTGACGATAACAATTCGAGTCTATGTGCAATAACCTGTGTATTTAAACCATGGGTGTTTAACAACTTATTAAGTATTTCATTTTATTCAAAGTGGTCACACTGTCGTTCGCCTTTTTGGCTACTTCGTTTCCGAGTAAAAGGTATTATATAATGTTACAGGCTCTGTATACATGTTTACTCTATGGTATAACCGCGGGCGAATACTTACATTTGGCGACAGGTACAATTGTCTAGCCTTCAGCAACAATATCGTCGTGTCCCAAGATGGTTCAGATTTGTTGCAATCGAATATCCACACTTTGTCATAATGCAACGGTTCCGTGTCACCGTTCAAAATTTTCTACGACAACATAAATAATGTTACCGGTAAGTTAGGTTAGGTTAGATGTTTATCATTAGGGTCATTATAAATGATTTATTATAGCGCCGATGCGGAGCTGAGAAGGTATTGTTTTTATTTTAATTTTGTCTCGACCATACCGTTTGCAAGAAACGATTTTAGTTTTCTCGGTTTTGTAATAGACATGTTTATTAATAAATAAAATAAATTACCTACAATTACTGTACTTTGAATTATTTCGACCATTTTTGTTGTCGACATTTAAAAATATGTTTTATTATTTTCGTCCGAAGAAAGAAAAAGAGAACTTTTACAGTTTTTTACTTCTCAAAAATAAAAATTAAATACTGCAAACGCAGTTCTAGAAAACGAAAAAAAACTATTATCTCCTCATGTCACATTCTATAATTCGGAATGCGATTATTTTGGCAGAGTTTCAAAAGTCTTAAAGTTAAATGGAATTTTCCAAGAAATATAATAAAACTTTTCCAACGGCTTTGTGACAGAAACATAAAAATATCCCATGGTTACACATTTAATTTGTAAAAAATTTATCTTATTTTTACAATGATGTATTTTATTTATTTATTTTTTTTATATCTGGACTCATTTACCATCTGTAAACGTTGACAAACTAGACAAATACCATAAGCCTTTTTCTCCAGAAGGGATTTAAACTTTTTCTTTATTTACTTTTTTCGAGCGTCGTTTTACGACTTGAGGTCTGAAAATTGCACAGAATCTATAGTGGGCTATAACATAAGTACAATTTTCTCGAAAATCTGGTGTCAAACTTTGATTTTGCTAAGGAAACCCCCAAAAAAAAATGTTTTCATGTTGTTGGTTTACTTATTGGTAACAAAGGCAACGAATTTTTATTAGGAAAGACAGACGATCAACCCTAATCGTATCCACCCTTTTACTAAAAATACAATTTTAAACACATTGCTACCATAATAATAATTTTATTGTAATTAAATATTTCTGTCATCTACAGATTAGCTAGCACGGAAGCGTTTATTTGAAAATGATGAGTTTATTACTTTCAGTATTAACAATTCGTGTAGACCCGTGAACTCCCCTGTCCCCCAATATACTCCGTCACCAGTGGCGTGCACAGGGTAGGGCATGATGGGGATATATCCCACCCCCATTGGCCTTTTTTTTTTACTTTTAACATGAAAGTTTATCAACATAATATGTAATTTTTACGCACCCGTTGAAAACAAAATTTATCATCGAAATATAACTGATAAGTGATACCAATGACATTAACCACAATTACATGACATTATTTTTGACACCCCCCCCCCATACAAAATTCCTGCGCACGCCACTGTTTGTCACTGTGTTGGCATTTTATTACTATTCAATAACATTTCCATTGTGATTAGCGGTATTTACATTACGTTATTATCATTCAGATGCACGACAAAAGTTATCGATAAATAATTCAGTTTTCGTCTTTGATTAGTATTCCGAACTTGGCCGAAGGTATAAGAAAAAACAAATTAACATTATAAATTAGCAATGGTTCGATCCGAGATAGTGACAATAATATGTGACAATATAAAAATGTATGCGAGATATTGCTCAATTGTCGGTTCGGTGTAGGTCGACAAAGAGACAACGCAATTTGTTTTCAAACAACTTCCATAAAAATATTGTATTTATAAAATAGTTATACCTAGTTGAAATTTAGTAAAAACCGTCATATCGCGCAAGTTCGGCAACGGTCGGACTTGTTCGGGCTTGTCCGGCGGATGTGATTACATAAAAACTCAATCTAACTACCTATTTCCTCTGCTCCATGGAAAAACATTAAATCCCCTTTTGCCTTTCTTTTCCTTCCCATCTTCTCAGTTTCTTCAATCTAAGATTAGGATATGCAGCTGATAATAGCTGCGGATAAAGTATGAGAGATTAGGGATAAAACGGATTTAACGGATCTTAATTCTTATTGTGAAATCTGAATTCTCTTAACACTAATCGCTTATCAGCCGCTGTCTCGTATCAAACGTGACCGATTTAGCACATTGACCGATTGGACATTAAAAAAAAAAATTAAAAATAGACTGTTTTGAGCATATTCGTTGACATAAAAAGCGTTGGTAAAAAAATGTAAAAATCTATTATCTATCATTTAATCTGCTATTAACACATTTTGAAATATTAACAATGTACTTTATGGGAAAGGTCAGTTGAGTAACACTTTTCAATAAGATCGAAATCTGTTCTATTGTTCACCTACAGTAAGAGATAAGGAAGTGTGTGATAAGGATGGGATGGGTGACACGTTTTTAGCAGTGGGTGGGTGCAAAGAACATAATATTTATAATTATCGTATGTTTTACCTTCGTGTGTAGGACTTTTTTTGTTAATACATTAATAATTGAAGTAAATAGTAAATACCTCAATGATTTTGTGTCTAGTCTTTCCATTGGGATTGTCGTCCAAGTCCAACATTTTGTAGAAACAGAACTCCTGCAAGAAATCATGGAATAGTCGATAAACCTATGTAACGAGCATGCATTGATATTGACTTTTACTTCCGGACGTTCGAATATGTCATACACCTTGGGATTATATCGTAACGTCAATATCCGGTCGACGTTTTCTGGTTGCATTCGGTAGAAACACGACAGTACGGACTCGTGGCTTTCCAACGTTCGTTCTAAAACACAAAAAGCAACTTGTAGGTACAATTTCGATTTTAACGTGGATATATTTTGGGCTAGGGATATTATCTGCAATTAGCAGCATTACGACACTGCAAAGTTAGGTTAGGTTAGGCTATTAGGGTAGGATTGTGGAAAAGAGTGAAAGCTAAATGGATATCAGTGATAAGAGATAAGTGATACGACACAGCTGATAAAGACTGCTGACGAGAGATCAGTGATAAGAGACTGATCTGATAACAAGTCCGCCTTAAGGGGCTGAGAGTCTAGCTGAACTCTGAAGTTAAAGTCATTGTGACACGGCAAAGTAAAAGTAATTGGGGAGAAAGACAATGGGAGGAGTAGAGAAGGAAGAAGGATGTGGCGGAAAGAGGGGATGGGTGAAAGGGAAAGGTAAGCGGAGGGACAGAAGAGGGAAGAACATAGTATTGTTTTCGAAGCACAAAACCTCATGCATGATTCTATATTTTTCCGTGTAGCGTTAAAATATACTTCAATTTATTCTTTGGGAGGGGGGGGGGGTTAAGGTCTATCGATTACCTATTTGTTTGTCTTTCCAAACTTCTACAATGGTCCAATCGTAACATCTCTTTGGTCTGTTGTTGTTTTTTGTCAACAGCGACGTGCATACTTCAAAGGGCGTCGTTTCGGAGCTAACATAGACCGTCTGACGATCACCGTCAGAATTGTAAATGTCAATGTTTCTCTAAAATTAAGTGTAATTTTTATTATGAAAACAAATGACATCTAACGACGGATATATATATTAAACTAGATTGCCAAGTGTAAATGCCGAAAATAGAGACAATTGAAGTTACCATTTTCTGCCATACTTGTGGGAATTAGAACCTTGTCACATGAAAATATGTTTATAACAATTATAATTTGTAAATTAAGTTGATAACACAATATCACATAAATATATATAATAACATTATTGTTATACACACACAAATCTCACAAAAATGGCGGACGTCGCCTTCGACTCTTATCACTAGTTAGCAATCTAGTTTATTATGTACATCTGTGTATCTAACTGATAACAGCTTAGTACAGATAACAGTTTACAGGTGATAAGCGATGAAAGATAACACTGGTTTTTTCGGACGGGTGATAATTCTTCGGTGGCGGTTTTTTTTAATTAAATGATAAATTTTTTTTGTTTAATTATAATAATAATATCATTTGACTTACCGAAGTACAACCGAGTTCAATCGACTGGCATTCTTCTAGTTTTTTATACGGCGAAAACGAATTCATAGTCGTTCACGTCGGCTGGTCTACCGATAAACTTTCTGCCACTGAAATACAAATTAATATGTCATTAATTCGGTATAGATATATACAGAAAAAACTTAAGCAACACTTAATATTTTATCATTTTTTTAATTTAAGCGTGTACGAGATGATTCGATTCATTTAACGTAAGACACTAATTTTTTCTTAAAATATATGCAACTATGTAGATTTTCTTTGTTAAAAACATTTTTGTTTATGTTATTTTACAATGTGATAAAATTACTAAATATTTACTGTTTAGTTTTTTCAAGAGCTGTATCAACATTTGTAACTTAAATGGTAAGGTATATATTTATTTAACTTTTTAGGTTAAAAACACTTTATTGAAAATGTTCTAACTAATCTATGACATGCATACGTTAACGTTCAAGTTATAAAACTCGGTAAAGCTCTGAAATATACTAAAAAAAGATAAATATTTAATAATTTTATAGTATTTTAAAATAAAGGCGTTTTCAAAAAGGACACGAATTTAATCTTGCCTTTAATCGATCCGATCGTCCTGTAAGTATACGAATTAATTAAATTGAAAAAAAAAAACAAACAAAAACAGTAAAGTTAGTCGAATAAAACAGTTGACTCTCTTTAGTGCAACATGGCATCTACATAGAACTCATAGTGAGAACATTTTATTTCATAACGTAATAAGATAGGTACATGTACATAATATTGTTATGTGTTCCAGAGTACAAGGTTATATTTACGGAAAGCACACTAGAAAATATAATATTAATGATATTGTGTAAACAATAACGAATACCGCGTTTGTTTTGGTTGTCAAAAAACCGTGTTTACATTTAAATAATTTACTATAGACCGAGTAAAAACTGAAGACAATGTTAGGTAGCACACTCGGGCAATACGAAAAATTATTTTTAAATAAGCTTCAACGCTAAGTACAACAAACAATAAAAAACATGGTAAAATGCTTAGCGGTTAGGTGTATGTTACCATCCGATGATAACATTTCGATTTTATAATTTTTACACAATTTATACAGAATGATTCATTAAGGATAAGACAATCGTTTAAAAATAATTGCGACTTTGTAGTTTTTCTAATTGAACACAATGGTTTATTTTCATAAAAAATTCAAAACTGGTTATCGACCAGAAAAAATGTTCAGTAAATCATTCACAGTTTAACTAATCTAATTAAACATATACGTTCCCATTTAAGTTTCAAAAGTCGATGGCCGCCTGAAAAAAAGGTAAGTTTTAGGTAATTTTATAATTTTGAAAAATACGAACATAAACAAAAATGTTTTCAAAACGAAAATCTACAAAGTTTAATGTGTGGCTCTCAACGAATCATTCTGTACGTACTGATTATTATTTCGGTACTTATAACGATATACATCCACAATTGAATTGCTGCGATAAGTTTATTAACAACATTCGTTCAAAACAATTAAATGCTCTTGTAAATGTATCGTAATAATTATTATGTAATCCAATTGAAATTAATTGATTTGATTCGTTTCGACTTGGTACCACGATAACGATAATAATTAAACCGTTAATTAGATTTTTGTTCTAATTTTACATAATAAATTAAAACGATAAACGACGTAAAAAAAATCAATAACGTTCTCATGTAAAAAAAAAAAAAAACAATAAGAATTAGGAGGATAATAATATTGTACCTAATAAGTTTATTATGTGTGTGCATTATAATGATGTCAAGTAATAGAGATCACGTCTTGACTCAGAAATAGCACATGCAACATTTTTAAATGTTTGTAACGTTGCGCGTTCTCATTATGACAGATTAATCGTTTCTAATTTAGTCGGAATTACAACACTATTTAAGTGTACTTATGGATTCATTAGCTGCTTAACCTTTGCGAGGGGTTATAGCGTTTTGAGGGTATCTTACGATCCGGCATGGCTAATGCAATACATTAAGAAAATGCTGTCAAATTTTAATTCACATGTAATTGAGTGCGGGGAGATTACAGGTTTTTTTGGAATATTTACAACTGAACGTGATAAAATCACTTTCGAATAAACGCTTCACTTAAATAGGCAAATCAATAAAATAATGAAAACATTTTTCCTGTATACCTGTTGATTCGTTCATTCTTTTTTATCGTTTCCCCTAATCATGTTTAAGAAAATTATATAATTTGTGGTCCACAATTGATAAAAAAACAACGTAAATGTCGGGCCAACAATTTGACGTACCGCTGTATCAAATAAACTAATGAAAATGATGTACATACTTTTGTTCGATTGTCTGGTAAATCACTATCATAAAAGTAACAACCTAAAAATTTACTATTGTCAAAGTGTAATTTTTTTTTTTTTTTGGTTTTCCTTAAACAAAAAATTGAAAATACAATTTTGAGAAGAAGAAGTAAATGTTATAGCCCAACTACTTGATTTTCTTTCAGTCCAAATGTTTTGACATTAGTTGTAATTATTAAATTAATAATTTCAATATTTGCTTGGTAATGTTTTATCAAATAAATTAATAACAATTATGTCATTTTGTTCGATTGTCTGGTATGGTATTGTTATTATTAAGTTAACGTGCGTTAGCATTTATGTTAAAAAAATAATACCCAAAGAAATAGGGTTAATTCAATTTGAGGAATGTAACTTTTGTAATTCATTTTCAATCCACCTGCGATGCATTTAAAAAAAGACTGGATATAACGTGGTAAGAAACGTGCAAAAGCCTTAAAAAATATGATGACCATAATTTTTTAGTTGAAAATTATTAATAACTAATGCGTTTATTACTATGTTTGCATGCAATAGTTAATGCTGCATTAATAATGCATTTAAACCGTTTTTATTGCGAATTAATTATTTCAATCTATTCCTCGAATTGAATTAAATTTCAACCTGAACTCAACTCAATTCATATGAAATTAAGTTATGTTTGAGCCGAATTAATTAATTTCTTTAAACACATGTAAACCCTTGTTTTCAAAGTTTTATTTATTGTAATATTATTAAGGTTCAACCGAATCGGATTAAAACATTCACAATTATTGACATTAGCATAAATATTTAACACCAACTATGAGAGTTGAACACAAAAAAAAAATAATTCTTTTCTAATAGCGGTTTAGATTTTAATGTTATTTATTAGCTGAAGAAAATGTGTTTTTGGAAATTATATTTTTCTTTTTTTAGTATTAAGGTGCACGTTATATAATGCAATGGCGCCATCGACAGCAGAAATCGGTATAATGATAAAAGATGAGTAAGCGCCCTAAGAGTAGTAGTAATTCATCAAAAATGTCATATGCAGCGAAAATTAAAAAATGAAATTTATATCAAATGAACATTTCCACCTACATATAAACGTGGGGGAAAAAAGAAACTTTTTTTATTCCAGTTAGGTTTTCCGTTTGCTGGGATATCACAATATATATACTTATAAATATAAACATTTTTAAGAATTATTATTATTGTAAATTTAGTTTTTTTCCGGGGGGTTTTCTTTATTGAAAAACATAAGATATTATTAACTTATAGTAAATAACATCCCCCACAAGTTCGGTAGTAATAAGACTATTTTTCAAAAAGTTTAACGTGCTGAAGCTAATTTTAAAATATGTAATTTTTTGTTTGTATTTATCTCGAATTTGAAGGGTGGAACTTTTGTTATGTATCTTTGTGGTACGATTCCTGTCTGGATCTATAGAGTTTAGCGGTTCGAAAGATATCCAAAAAGTCTACAAAAAAAAAACATTATTGCAAAAACAACATCTTTTCAAAAGTTAAAAGCCAAAAGTAAATCGATCAAATGCAGAATGACTCATCCGAGTTTTTACAAAAGACGGTTTCTCTTCTCGAACTTAAGAAAGCAATTGGCCACAATACAATACAAGAGGGACCGAGCGCACTGCTGTATTTTTATTCTACAAGTCATACGATTTGGTCAGACTAATGTTACTTACTTTTCAATCGGCTGCCAAACAAAAAGACAATATCGGATACTAAACATTACTTAACAATTTTTACTTAACTTTATAAAGAGAATTTCGAGTCAGGGACGAGAATGCCGGATGAATGAAAAATTCCTTAGTGATTTGGAGAGCAGAGAAATTAGTTTGACGATAGTTTTATAAAAGTTTGTTGTATAATTATTTTTTGGCATTCTAAAGATGACTGGAATTTATTACGAAATCCTCTCTAATAAAAGTTTTCGACTAAACCCGGTTTGTGTTCTCTCTAGTCATCAAGAAACTAAACAAATATTTTCTTAATATTTTGGAATGTTATATTGGTGAAGCGAGAGGCTTTTATTTTGAGTTCTGAAATCTTTGTTATAAAATGTAAAGATCAATAAAAATTCAAACGAATATTAGACAATGGATTTCACTAAAATTCATGTAAATATACAGGGTGATCCATTTAACGCAAGACGCTCATTTTCTCGAAAAATAATCACAATTTTACAGTTTTTCTTTTTTGAAAAAAATCTTGTTGCACGACATTACAAAATTACCATCTAATTGTCATTTTTTAGCAACCTTTTACAGGTGGGTACACCAACTTTTGAATAATATATTAAACAGGAACGTATCTATGTTTAGTTAACTTTTTGGAAATATTATGCTGAACATTTTGACTGACTGGTCACCAGTTTTGAAAAATTCAATTAACCAATAATATAATCTTGATAACTCTGAAATGAATAATTATCCAAAACTGGTTATCGACCAATCAAAATTGACAGCAAATTTATTTAAAGCGTTTTTTTTTAATATAAACGTTTCCATTAAAGTTTCAGAAAGTCGATATAGCTGTGAAAAATACCAACAAATATTCAATTCTGAAGTATCTCTATAAAGAAAAACTATAAAATTGCAAATACTTCAAGTGAAATTTTTTTTTTTTTAAACGGACACGGAATAATCGTGTAAATATAATTATCATTCTTATTGATTTCCTCTGAAGTAGTGGTTATTACTTCAGTGCATACTGCACAGTAAAAAATATATCACCCATGGCCAATGGTTTTGCGCAACACCGTACAATACCCTTGTGCGAACAATGTGCGGATAAAAGCATAGCACAATGCACAAATCGAATTTTATCCCATACAGATTGTAATCGCATGCACGATGCACACAAAGGTTAGGCGACCGACCAAAATTCCTATTACTGCATGCATTCTGGATTATAATTATCATAATAGATATGGTCACGTGCTGTTCGGTGTCAACCGAAAGGCCGGTATGAATATGTCAAATTTCCAATATTTCCACCAGAATGTGACGCGGGAACCACATGGCATTTGTATGGAATATTCTTTAGACATTGTCAAACCAAAAAATAACCGTTAACCCTTTCCCGCAGTAGCCAAAAGAGGTAGAAATTTTTTTTCATTATTTCGCTTTTTTATATAGAATTAATGACAGCACAATCACGTTGTAGATAGATCTAGTGTGGTTCAACAACATCCATATGCTATTAATTTAGTACACTTCTAACTGATGTAATATAATATGTTTATTTTTGAATATATTCGCTTGGAAAGCTTATTAAACGGTTTGCAGTGAAAATGCATGTTATGAAATAATTGGCAAATTCACAGTTTAAATGTTCTTAAGGATTCAACACTTGAAGAAACTCTCGAGCCTTAGCAATACCGTGGTTTGCGTCAAGACACTGCAATCTATGAGATAAAACACGAACTAGTTATTTATTAAAGGCAATACATTTTTTTTAAATGACCTGAAGAAAATGTTGTTATAAAAGTCACTTATATTCTTTGTGCTATGCGATTTATGGCTGATTTCTCGTCATCTAATCCAAAATGAATGTACTAATAAATACAGAATACAAATTCGTACGATGCTTTTACGAAATATAATAGTCAACCAACCGAAAAACGTATCCCGTTATTGGTTGGGATAGATAATACCTTGTCATTGTTCAATTAATAAAATAGTCATTCGAATACAGTGTATGGGCCAAAACGCCAAAGACAAACGAACGTTTGGAGCGACCCCCGCTGATTTTTTTGAAAATTACAATGCATGTGTTTTACGGTAAAAATAATGTTCACAAATTTTTTTGGATTTTTTTTTCGATAGTTTTGGCCATTGTCGTATTAAGTATTTTCAGTTTTTTCTTGACACTTATTTTTTATAATTTTTTTGTCGCATATTCTTTTTTTCAGAAAGCTTTTAGTAAACTACAAACTGGGATCACCATAAAAATGCTTAGAAACACAAAAAAAGAGGTGAAATTTCATAGAAAAAGTCGAAAAAACGGAAAATATCTTTTTTATACAATTATTTCAACTATTTTTAATTCTGCGGTCGTTATACGAATTTTACCTCTTTTTTATCTTTCTTAGCGTTGTTACGGAGATCCCAATTTTAAATTTATATATTTGAATGTACATTTTTTTTTGTTAACTTTAGCTATGTTTTTTGACAATATTTCGAGCTCGTTCAATTGGATGCAAAACTTTGGCGGCAGGATGGACTGAAATTGTCTTCTTTCGTATATATAGTCGTACTCATACGTAAGGACTGTAAAAGTCATACTGAAAATTTGCTAGGAGTTTACTAGGATATTTTCATATTTTGCTAGACGCCTTATACAACTTGATACTAGAAACAAACATGCCGGTGCTAGCTAACTTGACCATGCGTCGGCAAATCGTCGATACAACACATTTCATTTCCCAAAATATTTTTCAAGAGGTGCTTGAATTTTGCTAGGCGATTTTTGTAATTCACACAAATTTGCTAGTGCGTAAATTTCGTTGTAAAAAATTATCAGTACCGGCATAAATAGATTTGTAATTTTTACGCCATATTTTTGTTTTGAATTTTCCAGCAATTTTGTTAGGCAAATTTAAAAGAAAAACGACAAACTCAAAAACGAAATTACAAAAAAATGCTAGCACCTGCTGCATTGCTGGCATGTTTGTTTCTAGTATAACGTTAGGTATAAAGCCCCTAGGAAAATATTAAAATAGCCTATCAAAAATCTAGTAAATTTTCAGTGTGACTTTTACAGCCCTTTACATTATGTACCGGTGCCAACTTGACCCACATTGATTTTGATATTTACACGGTTGGTTTTTTGTTGGAATCCGTCCAAAACGATCATCTAGAGTGAACTGTGCACACTCGGCTTAATATTATTCGGTGGGTATCTGTTCTGGTATCGGTGAGTCACCGAGTTCGTCTATCAGCTATGCAAACAATTAACGAAAAAACGATGCTCGTCAAATAATATTTACAATGCAAATAATATTTTGGACGCACCACAGTTGATTGTGCTGTATACAGAGTGCATCCAATTAGCTCGAGACTCTCGTTTTCTGGTAAAACAATTGTAGGTAATTTTGTAGTTTGTTTTCCAAGACAGAATATATATTTTTTTTTTTGGTAAATTTTGAAACTTAAAACTACCTAAATATTATTACATATTCTATGATATTTTTTTGAAATATTATGGGATTTCATAATATTGTTAAAACTCACGTTTTTGTATTGAAAAAAAAAACTACAAAACTACAATCATTTCAAGCGTTAAAGGAATCCGTCAATGATTATAATATATTATACCATAGACTCTGAGTTGGTAATGGTGTATATAACAAGTATGACGTACGCGAGTAGAGGTGTAGGGCCAATTTTCTCAAATCGTTTTCGGTTTTGGCAATTCGACTTAAAAATGTGTTCTTGTGTTAGCGTAATGAGCTGTACTTACCGTGCGTTTGGCCCAAAGCCTAGTTTGTACGACACAAAGTAAATAACGCGGTTGCAACGCGATGGTCGTTAAAAATGGTTTTTTTTTTGTCGAACACGATATCTATTTATTAATTTAAGGTAATTTTCAATGTTTATTATTTTATTTTATTCTTTTCGCTGCAATCGCCTTCTCTTGGGCTGGTGCATTTGACCTTTTTGCACATTGCCGGCACAGTAATTATTATTATTATTATTATGGCATTGAACCGGCGACACGTGATTTTTCATTAAATTGTACGCCAACGCCGAGAGATCACTCGGGTTCATAGGCAAAACGGACGTGGGAGTGACAAAAAAAAAAATATATATTAACCACATAAAAAAAAAAAATTTTAAAAAAAATATATATATATATACACACACTATACAGACTAAAATATTTAATTTATATACATTTTGCAAACAACATTATTCAAAAACGGTTATTCGGATGAATAACTATGTAAATAATTAAAACACAACGTAATATAGTTTTTTTTCTTCAAAAAAATGATTGTAAGTGCTCTTGTTATAAACTTTTATATACATTTTTAATCTAATCGCTTATTATTAGTTGGGTTTTACAAAGGATCGAGAAAAGTTAAACGTTGACTTAGTTGAGATCACTATTCTCTGTTGGTCTTAAAACTTTCTAAGCGATTATTTTTTTTTGTTCGGCCAGCTAAGATCTAGGCTCTAAGAATCCGATATGAATCCTTTATAAATATTAAACGTTGCATTATGTATCTAATGGCAAACGATGAATGGTCGACGACCAGTTTTGGATAATAATTTTTATTTCTCAAAGACTAGTCGAAGAATCCAGCGCAGGTGAGTAGTTTGACATATTATGTGTGGGTTAGTTTTGTTGTTGGTCAAATCTTCACTAATGTAAAACTATGATGATTTTATCGACAAAGCCGTTTTGGAAAATGCTACAAATGCGTTTTTTAACATTTTGTCGCGTCGCTAATGATTCCAGTAGTACATTATTGCCATATTATAATAGACAAACCTGAGCAGTCTTGTGCGTGCCAATAGCGGTTCTATTAGTTTGCATTGGACACCACGACCTTGAGTAGAATTATATACATGGCGGTATAAAAAACGTTTTAATATCATTTCAATGCTGTCCCGGCAAGTTATTGGGTTTACTGCGAACTGCCTACACGGTAGGGATAAAAAAACTCTAGTCGGTATAAAATATAAATGAGCCGTTTTCTTAAAAAAAGGAATACAAAATATTATATCTATTTTATTAGAATGTGGTATACGTTAATTTTTGTTGTTATGACTCAAATAAGTGGACTTATCGTTGGCGGATTATACAGGGAGGTTTATTAAGGAAAGCCACTCGTTTTCTCTTAAAGTAATTTCAGTTTTGTAGTTTTTCTTTTTTGAAACATTTTTGTTTGTTTTATTTGACGTTAACAATATTTTTAACATTATTCGCCTTATTAGCAATTTCCAAAGATCCACTAGCATCAGCCTGCGCAGGGTTGCTATATCCCCACGGTATGTTACCAATGATTTGCTACGCGAAGACCGCAGTGACGATATATCACCCCACAGAGCCTTAATTTTTATAAATATATTGTTAATGATTTGTTAAACAGAAAACTCTTCTTGTTAACGTAGCAGTTTTGGACGCTATGTCACCAAAAAAAAAAGAACCATTCCATTATGATATAAAATAAAGTATTACTTATTAATACTAAAAATATATCAGTGTAAATTTTAATAATTGTTCTTCTCACCTAACGAACACTTTTTTGAAGAACTTAATTTTACTCGATAATCAACCTATTAAAAAGCAATAAAAATACAATCTGACCAATTGAATCTTAAAGAAAAAAAAACAAAACTGTTCCCAGTTAAATAACTGTCATGCGATTGAAAACGGGCGGTTTTCAAAGAGTTTTATATAGGTAATATTTGAGAAAACGCGGTTTAAACAAATTTTGACCATGTCGATTAATTTTCAGGTTAATTTGTATAAGCTTCAGAGTATAAGTTTTAACATACATACAATTTTTCTTATGAGTTAAACTGTTAAAGTCATTTAGGTTGTACAAAAAACCAATTTAACCTAAAGCCCACCACAGTTACGTTTACTTAAAATTATCGGATTTTAGCTCTCAATCTTACAACTATTAGTTATTAATTAAGTCTTTTTTTTCACTCCAAATCTCCGGCATCTGTCTTTTTAAGCTGAAATTTACTTATGGTACTATTTTGTTGTATAGATTTTAAATATTTCAATTAAATAAAATTCTTAAAAAAATAAGAGGCCTACCAACGTTTTAAACTTAAACGTACATATTTAATTTTTTTTTTTAATTAAGAATGTTTTACAGACAATTTCAGTAGTATTTTTTTATTTGTCGTCCGCACTCTACCTCCAGTACTTAATTTTAAACTTAATTAGCAATAAAAGTAATTATCCAAAACGGGTTATCAACCAGTTGACATTTTCAGCGAAATATTCTTGATTTAAAAAGTCAATTAAATATACATATTAAGTATTGCCAAATAATGTAAGCGGTCCAACGGAGTAGGATATAATATAATGTGTCCAGATAAAATAATTTTAAAAACAACAGTACCTTCTCAGCTCTGCTTGGAAACTTAAAAAAACATAATAAATTCTGGACACATTATAATATTTTATTCGGTTTGTTGGAAGCGTGCCGGGAGAGTTTAGTAGAATAAGGGTTATTTTATTGAATTAAGTAACGCCACACGATTATTATTGTTTGTTTTTTTAGACTAACGAGCGGCGTGGACTATAATTAACCGCTTAACGACCAGTCGTTGACAAAAAAGAAAAAACCATGTAAACGGATATCCACGTGTCTGCTTGAGAGTTTGGTCTTTTTGAAGAATAGATCAATAAAATAGTCAACCAATGTAAATAAAAATGTCCACGCATGGAAAATCAGTTATGGCAAACAATATCTTACTTAAATTCTCTGGAAGTTTATTGAATACATGTAATGATATGGCATCAGACATTTTTTAAATTATTTTCTGTTACATTATTTTTTAAAAAAACACATTTGTGCGCTATGTATACAATTATCATAAATTAGCTTGAAGTTTTTTAGGTAAACTCTTGTGACCGTGCTGCCGATTTCCCGTAGGGTCTTCAATTATTTTTAACCAACCGTGTAAGTACGGAAATTAATAGCCTGCTCAAACTTGGCGCGTCACCCTGACCAAAGACTCAAAAGAGTGAATGGACTAGAAGTGACAAAGGTGGTATTTAAGTATCGGCGCGGAACTCAGAAGGTATTCTGTTTTATAATAATGTCTTTTTTGTGTCTAACCGTTTTTTTTTCTGGTAGCAACTCTACAGATAAGAAATGGTAACTAAAAAGTACTCAAATGGACCGAACATTTAAAAAAAGTTCATCCCTTCCACACGAAATCAACAAATTTACATACTTTTCAAAATAGTCGAATAAGTTCCCAAAAATTGTGTGGAACATTCTTTCGACAAACCTGAGGGAACTTGATTTCTTTGTTTCACGTTTTTGGGACTTAGGTCTTTGAATTAGATTACAAGTAAATCTCCCTTCTAACTAGAATTACTAAACGCTATTAGTGGCAACTATTATATTTATGTATGATATTATTTATTTATTATTTACAGCCGCCATACTTGGGTCACCGCTGTTAATCTATCTGTATATTTTTTTATTGACATTGACAAACCCGTCCATTTAAGTTTTATAGTTTATCATCTATATAGGAACTTTCGTCCGAGCAATAAATTGTATAATAACAATAATGATGTTTGAAAAGAAATCCATGAGAACACTCCTTTTGTAACGTCCCACGCATGATTTTCGACGATACGAACCGCAATCACACGACATCGGTAAAGACTATAATAGAGATTGTATAAGAAAAATAAAACCATAATACACGAATTGAAAATTACACACAACAGAGGAATAGACAGTATTATTTCCATAGTATACTCGTTTGGAGCTGTACTTATCCAAACAATGTTTGCACATTACATGTGTGACGTCCCGTGTATACTGACAACAACGTCTGCCACCTGTTAAAACTGCACGGTTAGGTTAGCACCGTTAAATTTTGCTTACACAGTGCACTGGAAAAAAAGGTTTATTGTAAAAATTCACATTTTATGAAAAACAATTTTTAGCTGTTTAGTTAAACACTATTAAATGTTATAACGAAACGCAGATATTGAGTCTCTTCTCAATATTATTATGAATTAAGCAAAAAGGCCAGCTGCAGTGTGACCAGTATGGCAAAATTACATTCTTCTGGTACATATATTTTAAAATTCGTTTCACTGCAGCGCAATATGATAAAAAAACACATATTATGACTTATCAGTTATAATATTATCACATATTTATGATATTTAATGAAACTGGAATTTATCTATTGATAGCGAATGACTCACGTTACTATCAATTCATTAATTAAGGTAGGTATATTTTAAGAAACCATTCTGAAAAAAACTTCATTATTATATACAGGTTGTAACCTATTAAACTTAACACAACTACGTGCAAAAGACACTTTGTCTAACATGTTTTAAGATACGTTTAAAACTAAGTTTAAGTATAATTATTGTACATGAACTAGGCAAACGAATATGTTTATTGTACAGAAATGTAGGACTGAATTCGGAAAACGAAGTTCATTTATTATTGGCACTAATCTGGCAAAGCTTTTAGTTATTGATGTTGGTTTATTTGCAAGCTTAAAATAGTATAGAAAAACTATCGATGAAAAAATTAGATTATTAAGTTACTGATATTACTTAGTATTTAATTGTACTACTTTATTTGCAGTACGCCTCAAACATAGTTTGTTTTATAATATGTATACTTTTTAGTAAATAAATAAAATCTTGTCTCTATAACAAGCTTAGCTTATGGTGACAATCATTATATATAATACATTGTTTATTTTATATTTTGCTTAGTATACTGTATAATATTGTAATAGTATTATATTGATTTTTAAAAATGAAAATAAATAAATAGATCCATTGATATGTATTAGTATAGTTGATAAGGATTATGTTGCGTGCAGTGTTGAACAACTTATAAAACAATTACTTATTTGGATTTAAAGTGGTCACACTGTCGCGCTGGTCTTCTTGATTACTTCGTTGCATTATTATAATATGATGTTACAATTCTCTATATTTTTACTCTATACTTCGAACCGATTGGATATCCTGTCTAGGTGGGAAAATGTCAACATAATATGAGACTTTGAATGCTTTATAATTATATAGTTTGAAAATTAAATTATTTATGCCAGTACGAATTTAGGACAAAACTCGAATGCCGACCCACACATTCGAGTAAACACCATCGTGAATTGTCATGTACTCGTCGTTTTTTGCATTTATTCGCTGATGGACAAACAAAACAAATTGAAGAAGCTGAAATCTAAAAATACTCCACAATGAAACCGTACAAATACTTATGGAATTCAGTATACCACAAAAAACGTTTTTAATATTATTAATACAATAAGTTATAATTCACTATGAAAATTGTGAGGTTTACATAACATCTCAGAAGATATTATACTTTGTTTGTTTTTAGTGAGCCTAAATTTGTTATATTTTTAACTACATAATACAACCCCATCTCTTGTGTGTCGAAACCCAATTATGTTTAATGGTAACAAACATAATATCTCATCTTATTAAAAATAAAACATTTTAATGGCATACATTTTAAACGTTGATAACATTGTAAGTAAATATCCATAACTGACCAGTCGACATTTTCAGCAAATTATTCTTAATATAAAAAGTCAACGTTCAGTTAGTGAAAATAAAAGAATTGTACCTTATCTTTTTCTTCGAGCCAAGTTTAAAATATATTGCATTAAAACTATAGAAATGCATTTCTGTGTTAATTTCCGTGTTATATTTATAATTTCACCGTTTGCCGTCGGTAATTTTATTATGATATTTTTCTTCCTTTACCGTTAATGATATGTCTTCACTTATAATATAAACTATTTCTTCATTCACTATTTAAATCCGACCCGAAGGACCTTAGGACATGTTTTGAAGCATAAAAGGTAACGTTTACATTTAATTAATATTGAAACTATAAAATCACAATTATTTTAAGAGAAAACGAGTGGCTTTTCCTTAATTAATTCCCCTGTAAAAGTATTGGATAAGTTCAATAACCGTGATTTGCCACTCAAGGTTCTGAAAACCAAAATTTAAAAGTAGCAAATGTTTTTATTATCCAAAACCGACTTTGTTACCCAGCAATCATAAATTCTAACACGAATCGCTTATTCAAAAAAGGTATTTGAGTAAAAAAAAATCAAAAATTTTGGAAAAAAAACCACTGTTTTCCGCTACACATAAATGCTTTGGGGAAAAAAATGAATAACGCAAAAATCCTTTCTATTTGCATTAGAAACATTTGATATATTTTAACATGCTTATTTTATGCCTTTTTTAGGCCAATCTCAGCCGGGGGACTTATTTAATTAGCCGAATAAAATATGTAAAAAAAAAAAACAGGAATTTAACGATTCGAAAACGGTTTGTTTGCCAAAAAATGCACTACTGAACGAAAACTGAAAAAATTGGACGGTCAAAAAAAAAATAACCGTAAAGAACATTTTTGTCGTTGACACATTTAATACTATGAAGTGAAAAATGTGGTCCACAGAGTTACTGGCACAAAGGAACGGCCGGTTAATAAATTCGATTTGTCGTCGGATAACACAGCGACATGGCTAGGTCGGCCGGAAGAAAGAAAGTAAAATTATTTTAAGTCAAGGTCGGAGTGGTGTATGTAAGAAAGATAACTTTTATTCGACCCAACGACGTTCGGGCTGCAGTCGGATTTGGGATTTTTATAAATAGAAGACGGGAGACACTCGTTATCGGCATAGCAAATCGGTATTAGGCGCCAAAAAACTGATGGCGAATGTAATTCCGTTTAATTTTTTTTATAGTGTAATTAAAATGTTTAAAAAAAGTGTACACGCTGACGTGTGTGCGAAGAAAATATGTACAAAAATGATCTGCCAAATCGATTGCAAAACTCTTTAAAATACCAACACATATTACGTCATCACGACAACAAAATTAACCCTTTCCCGATGGTATTTTACTATACTAATATCTTAACGCAAATGCTCCAAATAGGGTTCAAAAACAGACAACAGTATATGAACGGCGTTGGGCTCGTGCAACAATAAGACGGCCGTGTAAATGTGTCGATCGGACGTTGTTTAGGAGCTAAATAAAACTATGTTATCTACATAATAATATGTATAATTATGATAATAAATTGACCAGCCGCCTCTTTTTACTTATGACAAATATTGTTTCTAAATACAGTGAAAAATACCAAGAAAACACCATTGACCTCTTTCCTAGCAGTAGGGTAGAAACTTTTTCTTTATTTCGCTTTACCAGGCTTGATTTTCGGCGTAAAGGTCTGACGGGCACACTATAGGTAGATCTAATAATATATTATACATATTTTCAAAACACTTTACTCAAACTTTTTTTCTCATTAAACAAAATCCGAAAAACGAATTGTATTCATTAAAAACGATTTATATATATTTAATTATTTTTACTATAATTGGTAGACTATAATTTGCCGGAGACGAGTTTTTCTTTTGAAAAACAAAAGCGATTTTGAGGTTTTTTTTTTACATTATACAATATACATTTTAATGTCCATATTCAGTTTAAGTTTCAGACTCCAAACCCTAAGACTACACCTAAAATAGGAATCAAAGTAAAATATGTCTCTTGTCCGAATCCGACAAGCTAACAAATGGTAAAAACGTCAAATCGAATATATTCCAACGCAAAATAAAATAATTAATCAACGATGACATCATTGATTAATTATCATTATAATATATTCTTATCGTCGATTGATGGTGTTATATTTTGGTCCGTTTTTCAAGCAAACCTACAATTTACAACGATTAATAATTTTCACGTTGACAGTGTTGTTGCATGATTAGCGGGACATAAATATAAATATTATATTTTTATCTTATCTCGTGTGATTAAGTAGCAAATTAAGGGCGATTTGCATTAATCGAATAAAGCGTGTTGCGCAATGTATGCTAATATAAGATACGAACAATAACGGCATGTTCAGCCTTATAAATAAATAAACGACGTCTGATAAACATGGAAAATAAGGATAGGTATTTTTCATTTCACTTAGGTTAGATAAGGTTGTTTCGGAAATTTTGTGAGCCTAGTGATAAAGTCACTTCAGATTTCAGATTAAACGCTTTTATGCAAAATTATAGACGGTATTGACTAATAATAATTGTATAACAAGTTTTTTGTTATTTTAGTACATACTTTGTGTTTGACTGACTGATTGACAGTTTTTTATTATACTGTAAAAAAATAAAAACCCACAATTATTATAATTTTCAAAAAATAACGTGCCCTATAATCATCACCCTGTAGAATCAAATGACAACAAAAATCACTCTATGAAGTGGATCATCCGTCTTTGTTGTTGTTTACCCATAGTATTATACCGTAATTAACACTATAGTTAAAACATGTTTCTGATACCTATTAACTGTTGGTTCATTTGTAAAAGCAACCTTGAAATTTAATATAGTCAAAGTGTAATTCTCCAGCTTTTTCTTCTTTCGTTTAAATTTTGTTGAGAGGACTATACATGTTTTATAGTCTCACTTTCGGTCTGTTTGCAATATTAATTTCAGACCCCAAAACTACACAAAGTCCTAAGACTACACACGCAAAAAAAGCAAAATAATATAAAAGTTCTTAAAAAATACCTAACACAAATTTGAAAATATTTAGACTATTTTCAAAATGTTGTTTAAGTATAGAAAATATTATCATATTATATACAATATAAATCATAAGTAAAACATTGGAAATTATTTTTTGTAACATTTCATTTCCCGTTAAAACTTCATTTAGAGGGCACAAACATTTTTTCAATATTTTGAAATTGTTAATATATAATATATATATTATTTAATTATACATATTCTTTGATTGATATATTTTTATTTTTCGATTTGTAAGTGTATGAAAAACCGTTATGGTTTTCAAGGGCGTTCAGCGTCTATTGTATGGGTCACTCAGTGCAATTATTGAAATGAAGTATGATTTATGTATGATTAATTATTTACATGGCGTTTTATACAAATATATAACTTGAGTTGTCTCGTTCGAATTCAAAAGCCCGTAAGAAAAATAATACAGTAGTTTACGTTCACACACGGCAGTTAAGAAATACAATATTTTTGTTCGCTTAGGCCCAAAAAATGTTTAGTAAATACCCCAAAAATATAAGTCATATTGTCGAGCTTATGTCTTACCAAAAAACGAAATTCCCCTGTGACTGGCTCTTAATAACAAAATCATTTTAAAAATAAGTGAAAAATAATCTTATTACATCCAAACTTGTATAGGATGGATAATATGAAATATCCTACTATACTTTATTGTAATACCACCTTAAATATGGTGTAACCCCAAGAGAATATCATTAACCTCCCAAAAGTGATAGACACTGTTTTTTTATTTCGTTTTTCCACGCTTAGTTTTTAAAATTAAGATTTGACTTCTAGTAGATTGTAAGTTGATCAAATTTTGGTCAACAACATACATTTAGAAATATTTTCTCAAACCATCGTTTGGAAGTTTTGGTCAATCCAAAAATAAAGCCAAACACTGTATTACAAGTACGATTCATATAAAATTTAATATTATCACCTGCTGATATTTACTTATT